TGGGTGGTCCCAAAGGGCGTTTCTCCTGTGGACTGCTTTGGCCCCCGCATCATCGAATGGGATTATGGGACACTTCTCATGGTTACTGACTGTTTGGCTGGCCGCAAGGTGTTTGAGTCGAATGACATGGGGAAATCGTGGACGGAGGCTGTCGGGGTACTCTCATGGCTGTCGACAGACGCGCCACCTGACGCTTACGGCAAGAGGTATCTTTTGGGATCCATCATTACTGCGATCATTGGGGGAAATAATTTAATTCTGTACACTCAGAAGGGGAGGTACCCTCCGGGGGAGCGTGGTTTACCCAATGCGTTCTATCTTTGGGCGACGGACGGCAACCGCACGTTTCATACTGGACGGCTTTCTGTGGACGATAAGGAGAATAAGGCGACTGCCAACACCCTGCTGTACTCAGGTGATGCGTTGCACCTTGCAGAGGCGAGGGGTACTGCAACGATCAGCACAATATATTTTTCCCGCCTGACGGAGGAGCTGGAGATTATCAAGTCTCTCGTGAGGACCTGGGAACGAATGGACGCCTTCTTCTCCATGTCGCATACACCCACGGATGGACTGGTTGGATTCTTGTCCAATACAGCCATCGGCCCAAAATGGATGGACGAATACCTTTGCGTGAATGCAACGGTGACGAATGGAGTGAAAGTCCAAGATGGATTTAAATTCCCGGGGCATGGATCCGGGGCAAAATGGCCCGTAAACAGTCGGAAGGATAATGGGCCGTACACCTTTGCGAATAAAAGATTTACTCTTGTGGCGACGGTGTTCATCAACGAGCTAAAAACAGGTGGCAGCAGCAATCCTCTGCTGGGTGCGGTGCTGGACAAAGCCGTCAGTCAGGTCCTTATTGGGGTGTCGTACAACACGGGGGGTAAGTGGGAGACAGTGTTCAAAGGCAAAACAACAACACAGAGCAGCACTTGGGAGACGGGGAAAAGATACCAGGTGGTACTGATGCTATCGGAGAATGAGGGCTCTGTTTACGTGAATGGTGAGCTTGTGGGGAGCTCGGAGACGATACCAACAAGTAAGGAACGAATGTTCGAAGTCTCGCACTTCCAAATTGGGGGCGACGAAAGAGGCCGCGGCGGCGATGTGACGGTGACGAACGTCTTTCTGTACAACCGCCGACTGAGCGAGGATAAACTGAAAACGCTCAGGAAAGGCGGTGACGGCTCCATGCGTGGGGGCGTGTCACGGGTGCTCGTGCTGCTGCTGCTGGGGCTGTGCGGCATTGCGGTCCTTTACTGAGAAGCCGCAACGAGGACTTCCTGCCTGCAGCGGGGAGCAATATGTGTCTTTCCACGCACCCTCCGAAGTAATTGTCGTTTCGCGTGGACACACTTTTTGTAATTTTTTATTCCTTATTTTTATTAGAACCTTGTGAAGGGAATGGTTAAGGGGTAAGCTGGCCATCTAATAAAATATATATCCTGATGAGGCGCACTCTGTATGACATTGTTTCCCTACCTTATAATTGTTTGGCTGACTGCGACTTTAGGAATCAGGGAACTAATAACGTCTACACGAATTTAATTATTTTATTTTAATTTTATATTTTATATTTCATATTTTTATTATTAACTTCCCATCCACTCTCTTTTGACTCCCGCCGCTTGCGGCGGGGTCTTGTGGCTGGAGTATTTTTTAGTTCTGCCACTTCGTAAGTAATTAAGAAATAAATAAATAAATATCCCATCCGAATAGAGTGAATGGGCCACAATTGCGGCTAATGGATGATAAATGCATGTATATATATATATGTAATTACTTGGTGTTAAACTTTGAGGATATGGTAAATCCATTCTTATTACTATCTGGTTTGTTTTCTATTATCGATAGCTGCAGGATTCGGGCAGCAGCCCAGAGGAATATTATTTTGTATTTTAACAAAGACGACTATTTTTCTGCGAGCGTGGGGAAAGAGTGTTGGCGAGGAAGGCTGGCCACCCAATTTAATATATCCTGATAAGACGAAGGTGTTACTGTACGATTCTTTCCTATATTTTGTATCTTTGGCTGACCGCGATGGAAGGAGTGAAGAAAGTGCCAGCGGCACAGACGAACGCTTGCTTTATTTTTATTTTTATTTTATATTTTATATTTTTATTATTAACTTCCCATCCACTCTCTTTTGACTCCCGCCGCTTGCGGCGGGGTCTTGTGGCTGGAGGATTTTTAGTTCTGCCACGTCGTAATTAAGAAATATCTCCAGCTTGAATAGAGTGCGGCGTGTCGCGATGGTGGCGGTCCAAATATATATCTGTACGCATGCATGGAATAAGCATCGGGGGTATGGCGAGGGCACTGTCTCTCTATTGCCCCCTTCTTTTCTTCCGTCCTATTTTATTTAATTTATTTCAGGATTCAGCCAGCGGCGCAGACGAATGTTTGTTCCATTTATTTATTTATTTTACTTGTTGTGGTGTGGTGCCCCTTTCCTGTCCTTTCTTCTGTCTCCTTATATTTGGTAGAACCCCTTGAGCGGAGCGGGATCTTCCTTTTGTTTCTGTCCGCCGACCGCCGACGCTCTCGGCACTGCCTGCTACGCCGGTGGTGGTGGTGAAAAAAAAGAGAATGAAATAAAACTGGCATGGGAATTACAGAGGCGCGCCGGGAGTGCACCAGTGGAATATAAATGGCTTGTGGGCACTGGGGTTAGGGCGGCCAAAACGAACTTATCTTTTTTCCTTTCAGAAAGCGTAATGGGAAAAGAATAACATTTTTATTTTGGCGCATTTCTTGTGTTTTGCCACCGCTGGAGCTCTGGTGCGGTCACGAGTTTCACCAGTTCTCTTCTTCCTTCATCCCCCTGCACCTCTGCCGTGTGTGTGTTGTGTCTCCTGGCATGCTTTTCTCTTTTATTTTTTGTTTTTTTTGCGTAAATGCAGACACACACAGCCACACGCACAAGACGCACAAAATATTGCGGTGTCCACGGACGATCGTCTATCATTTCTCCTCCGGCAGTCGGTTGCCGCCTTTTTCCGTGGACATGAAGAAGGGAGAGGCACCGGGAGAGGGCAATACTGCGGTTCTCCTCTATTCTGTGTGCAGCGCACCGCGCGTAGCACAGTTGCTTTGAAATGCAGCACCGCCCGGTACATCGATGGTGCACGAGGTGAGAGACGATTCTTTTCGGCCGTTGGTGTACGTGATTGTGCGTTCGCGCGGGAGTTGGCCCTTTTTGCGCGCTTGTGTCTCTTCTGTAGATGTGCGATGGCGGTGACGGTGGAGGAACTTTTTTTACTGCACCCTTGTGCGTTGCTGTGGGTGATCCCTGCGGGGGTGCGTGGCCCCAAAACAAAGTTGTCCGATGGCTCACCTTTCGGCACGATGGCCGCAGCGTGTGGCAGTCACTCTGTTTTCTCGGGAAATATGCTGCCACGCTTTTACTTGTGTATTGTTTCGGGGACAATGTGCCGGCGGCTGTGCGATTGCCGGATGGAGAGGGAGAGGAGCGGAAGGAGGTGCGTGAGCGCGGTGGTCAAGAGTCGCACTGGGTGTCTCGCCGCGGAGGGCATTGCCCTACCAACCCAGCGCCGCTCCTGTCGGGCACCCTCTCTCTCACTCTCTGCAGGATTGTATTCGACGCCACCAGCACGCAGCGAGGCAGCGGATGCCACCACCGCCACGAGTGCGACTGGAAGGGAACACACCTGCTGTTGCGTTCCGAGGGGGCAATCCGTGTGGCACAGTGGCGTGCCCACAACCCCCTCGCGGAGTCCTCACACGACACCGGGCACTGGCCGCGGAGTGTTTGCGTCGTGGAGGACACTGCGGCTGAGTCCCTCTTCCTTTCAGGTGGACGGACGCCTGTTTTTACTCTTTTTCCCACCCAGGCGGATGGCTGCGCGATGACACCACAACGAGGCAGTTGTTTTCACGATGGCGGGGCAACATCTGCAGGGTTACGCATTGGGAATATGAACGGCGAATGCAGTAAGAAAGGGAGTGTCATGGCTCTTTTGTGCTGTGCGAATTTCGGGGATTTTTCATAAAGCATGTAATTGCCTTCCTTTTTGTTGTGTTGAAACTTACCATGATGCACCGCTGTTGTGGCGTGTGTGATTTGGGGTGTCTGCGTGTGGCCGTGGCTGCACCAAATTCTCTTCCCACTTTTGTGTGTGTGTCCGTGACGATATGCGCACGTCCTCTCGCAGAGTGTGTGCGGTGTCGGCGGTGCCACAGGGGTGCGGGACCGTGGCGAGCGGGGTGCGTGAGCGAACCCTCCGCGCCCACCACGTTGTTATTGTTGGCTCTCACCAACACTGTGCTGGGTGGATGGCACCCACTTTCCGTCGTTGTTGTGGTCCTTGTGCATGTGGTGTGCATCGAATACTGTGTGGATGGTTTTTTTGTTGTGGCTGCCCGTCATTTCTGTGCCTAGTTACCCCATCTCTCTCTTATTCTCCTCCTGTTTGGTGGTTAGTGTTCAGCTTTAACTCAATCCAACTAAAAGAACAGAAGGAAGCAATGCCTGGAAATCAAGCGTCTGCTGTGCCGCAGGGAGATATTCGGAGGAGAGCGAGGCCGGAGTCTGAGGGTAACACAGATCAACCCGCTGCGACTCAGATAAGAGTGGAGAAGGTGCGGCGATTAATGTGGGCTCTTGACAGTCGGGTGGAAGGATACAGGCCGTGGGAAGACTACGAGTCTGTGTACAATGCGAGGTGGCATCATGTCATGGAAGTTCCTGGCGGCGAGGGGACGGGAATGGAGGTGAAGGAGGGGAAACCACCGCAGTCATGGAATTACAAGGCAGTTGGCCGAACCCTCGAAAAGGATGACGGTGTGTTGCAATCCGGTGCACCACGCCTCAGGCTGATGGTGCTTACCTCGGACAAGGCATGGCCGCACCCGTGCAGGGATGCAAATACCGACTGCTATGTGAACTGTGAGGTGGATCGAGTGTGGCAGATCGTCAAGGGCGATCTCACCGAGTTGTTCAGCAGTCGTCCTGAGGACCACTTTACGCCTCATCCGCGTGTGTTGATTGGGACGCCCGGTATCGGGAAGTCGATGGCTGCCGGCTCGTACCTCCTCTACCAGCTGCTGCACTACGATGCGGAGCTACTCCCTGTGGTTGCGTGCCTTGTTGGTGGAAGCACGACTTACGTGTTTAACAAGACCACCGAGACGGTGACAAGTTACATGGATATGTCCATGATGATAAAAGCTGTGAAGGACCTGTCTCGGCGCGGGATGAAGGGGTATATTATCTACGACGTGGGAGGCAGGTTAGGTATTCCGTCTCCTTGTTTGCCTCCCGAAGGGTGGGGCATGCTTTTGGTGGCAACGCCAGAGACAACAAGTTACATAAGCTGGGCGAACGAAAAGAGAGCCGTACGAATCATAATGAATTGCCCCGATGAGAGCGACGTGAAGGCAATGTGCGTTTGGAAGAAGCGCAATCAGCCTCCGCAGCAGCAAGCGGAATACTGGCGAGAGGTGAAGGGTCACATGCACAAACTGGGACCGATTCTTCGCTACATCTTTGATGAGAAAGGTTATAAATATTGGATTTACCCCTGCCAGAGCTTTGTGGATGGGACGCCCCATTGGGGAATCCCGCGTTACTTTGTTTTTGGAACTTCCAAACTGTGGGAGGGTAATAAGGTGCTTGAATATCTTGCGAGGATTGTCCGAGTACGAGGAGAGCGCAATGGCGAGTCGCCTTTCAATGCACCGATAACTGACCACCTCGCAAGTAAAATACTGTGCAAGTTGGCAGAGTTAATGACGCAGGCTGAGTTTAACTTATTTGTATCGAGGATCAGGGATTGTCTCATGCACGCAAATTTTGGGAAGTGTGCCATGTTTGCATTTTTGAATGTGGCCTTCATGGCTGCAATAAGACGTAAACTGAAGGAGCTGAGGCCACCAACACGACTTCACTCACACCGCTGTGCGCCGGACGTGCGCTCACAGGAGGGCCCCACCAGCCACTATTTTTTGCCGTCGGCGGAACACATTGACAAGAAGACTTGTATAAACCACCGGCTGCTGTACATACCGGAGGTCGAGAATTTTCCGCTGGTGGACGGCTTTTTCTTTGTGGACTCAAACCCATGACGCTGGTTGGGCTGCCGA